GTTCAGCAGAGCATCAAAAACGTGACAGAAGATGTGCAGAACAGTCGATATCCTTTGTGTGACCCCTTGGCTCTGTCCCCGTGTTTGTTTGCTGGGCTGGAAAGCTGAGGGCTGGGTTGGAGGTGCTGCTGGGGACCTGGTGCTGCTGGGGGAGCTGTGCTGTGAGGCTCAAGAGGCAGGGCCTGCCTTGGGAATCAGGGTCCAGCTGGGGAACCAGCTTCCTCTGTGGCACGTGGCTTCTGGTCTGGGTTTTGAAGTGAGAAAAGTCCTCCCTGGCCCATGGGTGCTGCTTTCTCAAGTGCAGAGCTGCTCCTGAGGTCACTGCTCTTAGGCTGTCAGCTCTGACAACGGTGTAGCATGCAGACCTCTTCTGCAGACCAGATCAGGGTCTTCTGGGAATGGCATTTCCTGTGCTCAGGAAGGTAACACCAGGTGTTTTTTGAGTTCTCTGTCTTCAGCCACAGCCTTTCTCCTTAACCTTGGGAACATTAGCTTATGTGACACATGAAGACATCTGCAAGTGCTTCACAGGTGAGGAAATTGTCCTGTCCTGTCAGGCTGTCCCAGCTCCTCTCCCTCCTGCAGGAAGGAGGAGACACTGGACCACAGGCTGCCCAAGAGCACCAGATTAAATGTAGTGGGAGCTCTGATGCCATCAGGGCTCTTGTACCACTGAGTTGGAGCTTTCTTGTCACCATCAGAGGGGACAGGTCATTGGGTCACCCATGTTTAAAATGACACATCTGCTGTTCTTAGGGAAGTCTTTGCTGGGTGTCACTGTGTGAGTTTGTGTGTTATGTTACAAACCCTTCATTCTGAGGGGACAGTGTTCTAATAATAGGAAGCTCATGGCATGGTAGAAAACTGAGTGTCAGCAGGATAGGAGCAGACAACCTGTTCCCTCAGCTGCACCAGGAATGGAAGAGTGAGGTAGGGAAGAGCAGGGCAGAAGGGAATACACTGCTCACTGTGACCTCTCTCCCATGTGTGGTGCCTTCCTGAACCTCTGAGCTGCCTGTAGGAAAACCCACATGTTCTGTCTCGGGCAAAAGTGAGGAGAACCCCCAGGAGTTCCTTCCCTAGTACCAATCTTAATGGTGGTTGTGGGACCCAAAGGAAATCCTATCTGAGCTGTAGGGGTTTGGAGCCACAGCTCCTTTCTGCTTGGGTGGACACCCCACCTCTCCTGCCCCTGGGCAGCTGCTGGCTCAGCAGAGATGAACCTGCTTACCTCCCCCAGCAGGCATCATCTGATAGAATCAGAGAACAGTTTGGGTTGGAGGGACCTCAAAGATTGTCCAGTTCTAACCCCTTGCATGGGCAGGGACACCTCCCACCAGCCCAGGTTGCTCCAAGCCCCATCCAACCTGCCCTTCAACACTGCCAGGGAGGGGGCAGCCACAGCTTCCCTGGGCAGCCTGGGCCAGGCTCTCACCACCCTCACACCAAACAATTTCCTCCCCATTCCTCAATCTCCCTCCTCCAGTTTTAATCCCTTCCCCCTTGTCCTCTCCCTCCCTGCCCTTGTCCCAAGCCCCTCCCCAGCTTTCCTGGAGCCCCTTCAGGCACTGGAAGGTGCTCTAAGGTCTCCCTGGAGCCTCCTCTTCTCCAGGCTGAACACCCCAACTCTCCCAGCCTGGCTCCAGAGCAGAGCTGCTCCAGCCCTTGGATCATCATTTCAGCAAGCACTTTTTGGGGCAGGGGTTGTGTTTTCAGCTTGATGGTGCTTGTGGCCAGATAACTCCTAACAGTCTGGAAGAGTTTCCTGCAGACCAGCAGACAGCTTCTTGCTTGGTTGACTGTTTTGCATGTCACTGCACCTGGTCTTTGTAAACTGGTTTGTGTCTCAAGTCAGACCTCACGAAAACATGCAGAGAAGGTTAGATACTATTTGAGTCAAAGCCAGATTCCTCCCAAAACAGGCTGGATCCATCTTTTTCCATTGTCTGTTAAGCATGTGCCCAGCTTTCCTATCTGAATAATCCTTATATTTTTATTTTTGCTTCTCGGAAGTGCCTGAGCCTTGCAGAGGGTCTTTCTTGGACCCCTTGTGTTCTTGAACTGTGGTGCAGGCTGAATTTCAAAATGAGTTAGGGCTTGAAGGCCTTTGTGCTTGGTCTCTTGTCAAATATAGATTCATCAGTTGGATTAATTAAAAAAAAAAAAGTGAGAATATGTTTGCTTGTAGTGACTGGGGAACAGAATGTTGGTGCTGGGGTGCATTTTGCACTTGCAGAGTCAAAAAGGAGGTGGAAACACTGTACACTGGTTGGAAAAGTGTTTGGTGCAGCTCTCCAGGGAGACAGAAATGCAGCCCCTGGGTAGTTGAAGCTTGCAGGTCTTAAAGCTCAAGTCTTTGAGCTTCATTATGTGCTGTTAATGCCTCTTCACTATGGTTTTCTGAAGTGCAGCTTTGTGAAAGGGATCCCATTTTACTGACAACTCCTGTGGTACTTTTAATCCTTGCCCCTTTTGCTGAGCTCAGCTTTGCCTGTCTGAAATGACAGGATGTTCTCTCCCCTCTGTCCACTCTCTCCTTGCTCTGGGGATGTTGATTATCAAGTGCAGCATCATGCAAATGCCAGCAAAGTGGGAGTTTTAACCACAGCAAAGCTCAGACATTCAAAGTGAAAGCTGCAAAGGGGCTCCAGCTGAGTGTGTCTCATGGTTGCAGCACTGTTTTCTCTGGTTAAATGCAAAAGCCAGATGTGGACTCTGGAAGCTTTTTGTCAGTGCTTAATCATCCTCAGAGCAGTTGGTGCCCGTGGTGACTGGTCTGTTTTCACAGGTGACACCCTCCTGGCCATTCGAGCCCCCTCAGGCACCCGCTTGGAGGTTCCCATCCCAGAGGTGAGTGAGAAATGGGTGGGCTGAGGTTGGGGGGGAGGGATGAGGGGTGTCAGGGTGGGGTTTTTTTGCTGGATTGGCCAGGCTGGGAGTTGGCAGTCAGGGGGTTGATGGGGTTAAAGGGAACTGGCAACCCAAGGAAGGCTGCAGATATTAAAGAATTGCCAGGAAATTCTGTTGTTTGGAAGTACATGAGTAATGGCAGGAGCACCAGGGGGCTGGGTAGCCCTGGGAGCTGGGAATTGTGTGTGGAATTGTGCTGAGCTTCCTGAGTCACAGCATCCTTCTGGTTGGAAAAGACCATTAAGATCATCAAGTCCAACCATAACCCAACTCTACCAACCATAACCCAACCCTACCAAGCCCAGTGCCAACCCATGTCCCTCAGCACCACATCTACACAGCTTTGAAACCCCTCCAGGGATGGGGACTCCACCACCTCCCTGGGCAGCCTGGGCCAGGGTTTAGTGACCCTTTCAGGGAAGAAGTTTCTTCTCATCTCCAATCTAAACCTCCCCTGGAGCAACTTGAGCCCATTTCTGCTTGTCCTGAAAAGATGCACCATTTTATCAAGTGACTTATTCAACTTGGGATACTCTCATTGCTTCATGTGTCTCACTTCCATGTTTTTGCTAAGCAAAGGGGGCCCTGACTGTGACTAACATCAAGCCTGTCACGTGGCAGGGTATTAAACCTGGTAATCCTGACTAGGTTCAAACACCAAAGGCAAGAAAGAGAGTTCATCTATTTCCCAGTGTTCTGGTGTGCCAGAAAATTATTAGAAGTGGGTGCCAGAAGGTCTCCTATGGAATCTGAAAATGAAGTAATTGTTTTACCTTTTACCTCCTGTTCCCTGACACATTTCTGTGCAGGAAGAGCTAATAATAGACTGTGTAGCAATTTTAAGCTGAAAGAGGAGGGATTTAGGTTTGACATGAGGAGGAAACTCTTTAGTGTGAGGGTGGTGAGAGCCTGGCCCAGGTTGCCCAGGGATCCTGTGGCTGCCCCATCCCTGGCAGTGTTGAAGGGCAGGTTGGATGGGGCTTGGAGCAGCCTGGGCTGGTGGGAGGTGTCCCTGCCCGTGCAGGGGGTGGGACTGGATGATCTTTAAGGTCCCTTCCAACCCAACCCAGCCTATGATTCTATTTTTAATCTCATTTTTTGCTGTCATACTTAAGAGCTGAACCAAGCACCTGGCACTTGGAAAAGGGCCTTTCATGCCAGGTTGTGTTTTGCTTTTGACTTCCCTCAGGGCCTAAATGGGCAGAAGAAGTATCAGATCTATCTGAAGAGCACGAGCGGCCCCATCGATGTTCTCTTGGTGAACAAAGATGCCTGCAGCTCTCCTCCTGTCGTCCTGCCTGTTCCTCCCCCTGAAGACCTTCTCCAGTGCCAGGCAGTTGCCCCCTCCAAGCCTCAGATCCCCCCACTCACCCACTCTCAGGAGGCATCAGTTCCCAGCACCACCCGGCCCTCCACCCCCACCCCCACCACCACGCAGGACCACGGCCCTCCTGCCCAGAAGGCCACCAGCACAGGTGGGTGGGAGGCTGCAGGTGGCCCACAGAGGTGCTCCTTGGCACCTTTGTCTTTTCTTGTGTCTGGAATGGTGGGGCTGGGTGTGTTGATGATGGGAATCAGCCTGGAAAGCAGAGGGTTGGGTTGGGGTGGTGCCAGCCTGCAGGAGCACTGGTGGGAGAGGGACTTGTCAGGCAGAGCAGGGATCAGCAGAAGTTTGCAAAAGGCTCTTTGAGAGGCTCAAGTTCAACTTTCACTTTGAAAAAAGACTCAGAAGTGCCAGGTGAGGTTGGTTGTGGCTTTGTCCAGCCAGATTTGGAAAGCCTCTGGTGGTGGCAATCCCCAGCTTCCATAGCAAGCTGTTCCAGCGCTGCAGCCTCCTCTCAGTGAATTCCTTTTTCCTCACATCTGGATCCTTTGAGCTCCACCTCGTGCCTGTTAAGCACGTTACATCATTTGGCACCACTGAGAAGTTCTTAAGTCCTGTAACTGCCTCCCAGGCAGCTGCAAGTTGCTGTTTCCCTGCCCTTAGACTTCCCTCTGCCTGCTTGCACAAGCCCAGCTCCCTCCACCCCTCCTGGCAGGTCATGTCCCTCAGACCCTTGACCACCTTGGTAACCCTCAGCTGGATCTTCTCCACACCTTTCTTGAAGTGGAAGGTGGCTAAAGCTGGACAAGCCCCAAGGACAGGAACTTCCCTCAGTGTGCTGGCTGGTGTAGCTGCCCCCCCAGCCTGTGTGAATTCCTGTGGGAATGTGCTCCTGCCTTTCCTGCAGCCTGGCACCATCAAGGGCCTGGGAGATTTTGGTGGGTGAAAGCAAGAGGCCTCCTCCCTCTGGAGCTGCCTGTGGTAAAACAATTACTCCTGCCAGTGGGGGTTGGGGCTGGCAGGAGGTGACATTCCCACCTGTGTCTGTGGCTCTTCCAGAATGTGTCCCAGCAGCAGAGTCCAAGAGCAGTGGTGACTTTGACCCCCTGGGTGACCCCTCAGCTGGGTTGGACACCCAGCCCCTCCAGTCCTCTGCCTCCCTGGACAGCAGCTCCGTCCTGCCCAGCCCCTCTACCTCCTTTGAGCCCATCAAGCCTGACCCCACTGGAAGTGAGTACTCCCCTGTCCCACCTGTGCAGGACAGGCTGCTGGCCCTGCAGGAAGGAGCCAGGCTCCTTCCTGGCCTTGCTGGCTGCAAGGGTTGAGTTGGCATCTCCTGGAAGGGTGCTGGGGAACCTGGTGAGAAGGTGACTGTGCTGTGTCGTCCTGATGCTCTGTCACACCCCTACTAGGAGGTCTGCAAGGGAGGCTTGGATGGTACACAGCTCTGTGGTTGTATGTAGGAGCTTCCAGTGCCTGAAGGGGCTCCAGGAAAGCTGGGGAGGGACTTGGGACAAGGGCAGGGAGGGAGAGGACAAGGGGGAAGGGATTCAAACTAGAAGAGGGAGATTACGTGAGACATGAGGAGGAAATTATTCCCTGTGAGGGTGGTGAGAGCCTGGCCCAGGTTGCCCAGGGAAGCTGTGGCTGCCCCCTCCCTGGCAGTGTTGAAGGGCAGGTTGGATGCAGCTTGGAGCAACCTGGTCTGGTGGGAGGTGTCCCTGCCCATGCAGGGGGGTGGATCCAGATGAGCTTTAAGGTCCCTTCCAACCCAAACTAGTCTGGGATTCTGTGTTTAATCCCTTTCAGTCCCTCCTGTAGTGCCAGGCCCAATTCTTGAGTCTGAGTGAACCTACCAAATTTCCAGCTATGGCTGAGAGCACCTTTTTTACTTGTGGGGAGGCTCCTTTATTAGGAGAGCTCTAGTCTCTATTTTCCTCCTTTTCTCAGGGGTACTTCTTCTGTCTTTAGTGATCTTGTGGTCTTCATCTCTCAGTGTATATTTGGGGAGCTCCTTGATGTGCTTCGTGAGGTGGAATGGGCTTTAAAAAAGGAACCTTTGAGCTTTCTGCCAGGATGATAGGCTGGCCTGAGGAGAGACTTTAAGACACACTTTGGCTTTAAGATTTTGAAGGCTCTCTCCACTGCAGAAACACTCTAGGTTAGAGAGTTAGGGTTAGAAGAGGAAGTCCTAGTCAAATGTAGTTTACACAGAGCTTTTTTTGCACTTCTCTGCTGCTAGTGTGTCTGAGAAAGCACGAGGTGTGTGGCTTTATCTTGGAGTAGCCTTGATGAGCCTGTAGTTTAGCACATCCCAGAGGGCCTCTCTAGAGGCAAGTCCTTGTCCCACATGAGGTAAACGGAGGTGCTGTGTGGGTGCTGATGCTGGGTGAGGCTTCCAGACAGGCAATCACTCTGGAGCTGCTGCCTGTGAGAACAGTTGCATGTCCCAGGGCTCCCTCAGGTCTGTGTTAAAGTAGTTGAGCTTAGGGATTGTATTGCTGCTCATTCCAGCAGAAATATGTCCCATGGGGTGTGGGAGCAGAGCTCCTGGATGGCATGGGATGATTTGGGTGCAGGAGGACAGTACCTGATGGTGCTGTGAGGCATTTCAGACTCTTCTTGTAACTGCTTGGTTGGTTGTATTTGCAGTACTGGAACTGCCCAAAGAGCTGTCAGAGATGTTTGATCCAACAAGAGGTATGTTCACTCCCTGTCCATGGCTTTGTTCCGTGCCCAGCTACCCTCAGAAGTGGGACTGTTTCTTTTATTCACACCCCTTTGGGATCACTGTGGGGATGTGGTTTTGTCAGGTGCTTGTTGGTGGCTGCTGAGTCTCTCCTTGCAGTGAAGCACTCTTCAAATTACTGCTTCCTGGATGCATTTTTCTGCCTTCAGGTTGCATCTGTGAGGTTGCCCTACCAGGTGTTGCCCAGCCCTGTGTCAACACCAGTCTGTGCTCTGCCTTCCCATGCTCCTTGTCCAGCTCCTCTGCACACCAGAACATTCCCTGTTAGTCTGGTTTCAGCTGGGGCCTGCCCCAGGCTAACCCAAGCAGAGCATTCAGGAAGGTCTCTCTCCAAAGTATCCCTCAGTGGTTTTGGTGTGGCTAGTGATTTTGAAGCTGTCTGGAATGCTGTTCCTTTTGTTGGGAGTTCTACCAAGGAATGTCACTGCCTCATGATGGAACAAACTCTGCTCTAAGGGCTGGAGAGCTGAAGGATTTTAGTCTATACTGGGGAACTCTTTTATCTGCACATTTATTTCCCTCCCATGCTGGCAGAATTCTTCCCAGCTGGGCAGAGCTGAGGACACACCACTGAAGGGTGGTGACAGGAGGTGTCCAGCAGCAGTTCTTACACACACATGTGGCACTTCCACAGAGCACAGAACTGGTTCACCTTTGTGTAAAAACCAAGCCCCCAGGCCCAGAGGCCCACACAGAGCCCTGTGCTCTACAGTCAGCCTGGAGAGCAGCTCCTTGCTCAGCACCCACTGCTGGAGGCAGGGGAGAAGGTCCTGGTGGTGACTGAGCATATCTGAAGTCTGAACTTGACTTCATGTGAGACACAAGCTGCTGCCAGCCCCACCCCCTGGGCAGGAGATGGAGCTTAACCCAAACTAACAGGATGAGAAAGGAGATGTGTGCTGGCTAGGGGGGGTGTATGCTGGTTTATGGACCATTCCTCCCAGTTTGGAGAGGGAGGGGAGAGATCCAGGAGGGAAGGATTCTCAGGAGTGTAGGAAAGGAACACAACAGAGCTCAGAGCTCCCTGCAGCCCCTCTCATCCCTGTGGGGTCCCAGCCATGTTCCCTGGCACCGGCAGCTGCTTCCAGGCAGTTTCAACTGCAAGAGCCTGAAATTCTTCCTTAGTGTTTTGCATTGGAATTACTTTTTCTGCATGGTTTTCTCTCTCTTTTAAATGGCTGCTTAATAATTGCTGGTTTCCAACACATATCCTGAAAAGCAGCAGAATTTCAACACACAGACACACCCCCTGTGATATGACCAGCCCTGAAGAATGCAGGTTCTGCATTTAATAACTATTTATTGAAACCAGTATTATTCCTGGCTAGTTGCTTTGCATTGAAATCCTCTCATCCCATGGCACATGGTTTCCTCTCCTCCAGGGAACTGTGGATCAGTGTCTTGAAAATGGGCTGGTCTGGGTTTGTTCTCTGAAAGCTGATTTCAAGTTTGGGCAGTATCTCATCAACCCAGTTGGGACTGAGTCAATATTCATCATCTTGACTTGGACTGAGTTGGATATTCATCATCTTGACTTGGACTGAGTTGGGAGTTATTCAGAAAGTTGTTTTCAACCAACTGGAAGAAAAGGGGTTGACTTGCACACACTTTGGCTGCTGATCCCTCTGCCCTTCAAGTGCCTCAGGAGCCTCCTAGCCAGGAGTGACCACTCTGGAGGAGGGATGACATTCCAGGGATAATTAATGGCCCATGAAAGGTGGACACCCAGAGCTCATATGTTCATTCCCTTTGGCACTGAGCAGATATTCATCATCTTAACTTGGCAAAGTGGGAGAGTTATTCAGAAAGTTGTTTTCAACCAACTGGAAGAAAAGGGGTTGACTTGCACACACTTTGGCTGCTGATCCCTCTGCCCTTCAAGTGCCTCAGGAGCCTCCTAGCCAGGAGTGACCACTCTGGAGGAGGGATGACATTCCAGGGATAATTAATGGCCCATGAAAGGTGGACACCCAGAGCTCATATGTTCATTCCCTTTGGCACTGAGCAGCCAGCCAGTCTGCCAGGGCTGGATTAGCCCTGCAAGGGGGGGAAAATGAGGGGGACAAAGGACACAAATCTGGAGGTTCATTACTTCTGGAATAGCTCCTTTGTTTGTTGTATTTTTTTTTCCCCACTCTCAGCAAAGTTGGGGGGTCACAGGGCTGTGTCAGGCTCTACCAGCTCAGATCCTGGTGAGTGGTGAAGGGTCCCCTTGGCAGTGCAAGGCTGAGAGACAGTGAAGCCCCTCACCTGAAGGAGCCAGGCATGTGGTAGAGCTGAAGCAGGAGGAGACCTGCAGCATTTTCTGGCATAGCTGGAACTGTTTGACACCATTTCCCTTTGTCCCTGGCAGGAGCCTCCTTTGGCCACTGCCTGCTGCACACACTGTGTCTTGGCCCCAGGGAAGGGACAACAAGGGTGAGGACCACCCTGGGAAGGGTGGGATGCTGCCCAGGAGCAGGCCAGGAATGCAGAGTGTGTTGTCTAACTGTGCCTGTCTCTTCCCCAGAATGTATGAACTCTGAGCTGCTGGAAGAGCTGATGACCTCTGAAGGTGAGTCCTGGAGTCTCTCCTCCTGGTGTGGCCTCTCCACCATCATGGGTGGCTTCACCCAGCCTAGAACCTTGCAATTCCAGACTCCCCCTCATCTTTTCTGGGCTCTGGAGACAGACTGTTCTTACGGTCCTGCCAGTCCCTCAGAGGGACTAGGGTGGTCTGGCTCTTCCTTATCACAGGGCTGATTGGAAGCAACCTCAGAAGCTGTGGTGGCTGAGGTGGCCACGGGGATGCCCCGCAGGTGCTTGGCTGGCTGTGGGAGTGCTGGGTTTGGTGACCACCCCCGGGCTTTTCTTTCCCCAGTGTTTGCTCCCTTGCTCCGCCTCTCCCCGCCCCCTGGAGATCACGACTACATCTACAACCTGGACGAGAGTGAAGGTGTCTGTGACCTCTTCGACGTGCCTGTGCTCAACCTCTGACTGCTGCCTGGGGCTGTGGCCCGGCCAACACCCACTCTTTTGTAACTCTTTGGAAAAAGTGTCTATTTTTGGATCCCTTTTGTGCTAGAGCTCTGGAACTGAGTGACTCAGAGGTGCCCTCCTATGGACTCAGAACCAAGAGATGTGGACATGCAGGCTGGGAACCTCCCCACAGCTTCTTCCTCTCCCTCCCTTGCACGTCTGAGCTCCACGTGCAGCTCATCCCACCGTGTCTCTCCCTCTCCACTGGATCCTGGGCCACCCTTCAAAGGGTCTGTCTTCTGAGTGTGCCCAGGTCACCTGCAGAGTTTGCCCCTGTGCCTCTCCTGAGCTCCCTCAAAATCTGCATGCCTTGGTTTTTTTCCTGCACTCCCAGAGGCACTTTGCACCTCCGAGGTACCAGCTGCTCCAAGGAGCCCGAATTCCATGGTCAGTCAACAAGTAGGTAGCTAGATATCTCCGTGGGAGGGGTTCAGGTTTGGGGTGGTTACATTGCTGAGCAACAACGAGGAGGGAAAAGGAAAAACAAACAAACAAAAGGCACCAAAGTGTCTCCGTTTCTTCCAGTGACTCCAGACCAAGCTAGGATGTTTTACAAGGAAAAAAAAAAAAAAAAGGCAAAAAAAAAAAAGCACTTTGTTTAGCCAGCTGTGCCTCCTAGTGGGACTCAGGAGTTGAGCATTCCTGGTAGGACCCAGGAGCTGAGTGTTTCCCTGCTTGTGCCTCAGCAGGAGCACTGTCACCAGTGCCACCAGCCTGCTGATGTGTGGGCCCAGGGGCTCCAGCTCCTTGTCCAGCAGCTGTGCTGTTCTGCAGGGCTAAAGAAGAGGTGCCAGTATGGGTTGATTTATTTTTATGTGTTGGTTTGTTGTTTTTTTTCCTGAGTGATGTTTGAAAGGATGAGGCTGCTCCAGCTGGTGCCTGCAAGGTACTCCAGGTCCATCAGAGCCTGCTCATACTTGCCAGTAGCTGTCTTCTCCAACCCTTGCACTTGAGCCTTCAACTGGCCAAATGGTGACCAAGCAGTAACAATCCAGTAGTAATTTCCCATGACAAGTTATGTAGGTGTTGTCAAAATAGTGCTTTTTTCCTTCCCTCTTTTCTGTCTGATCATCTGCTCAGGATCAGGTTTCCTGTTACATTTGACTTTGCTCCTCCAGGGGCCGTGGCCACACTCCCCACTCCTGAGCCTGGGGCAGGTCTCTCTTTAGGGTGATGTTTTCCCTGCATCATTTTTCTCTGTTGGGTCCCCTGCTGTGTTCAGGTGGGGCCAGTCTTGGACCCTCTGCAGTTGGGAGTCAAACCCCCTGGTGGATTCCTGTTGTATTTTGCAAGCCCCGAGGTGCTTTGGTGGTCAGGTCCTGTCTTTGGGTGGCTTCAGTTTTGCACATCGTCCTGCCCATGAGGTGGAAGCAGCTTCTCCCACCATCCCTGCTCCTGAAGGGAAGGCCAGGATGCTGCCCATTGCAGGGAGGTGCTTTGGAGCCATCTCCACAGCCCACTGTGAGTGTTTCACTTCACCACTGGTGAGCCCCACAACCAGCTTGGGGTGCAACGTCCTCAATTCTTGGAGCCCACAGGGGTGAGAAAACTTATTTCCTTGGAACCTGCGTCCTCCAGGTGGCTCCTTGGGGTGTCCCCTCCTCGGTGGGGACAGGAGGGCTGTTCCTCTCTGCAGCCCCGGCGTCCTCCTTGGGAAGGAATTCAGGAGGACCAAGGGGATGTTCTGCACTGGGATCCCACCAGGGGGAGAAGTTCCAGCCCTCATGGAGCCACCCCAGCCTTCCCCCTGGGCAGGGCAGCAGATCCAGACCCCTCAGCCCGTTTTTTCCTGCAGCTCCAGCTCCGTGTTCCACCAGACCCTCCTGCCAAGCGTTTGTCTTCACCTCCAGTTCCACCACCTTCCCCCCGCCCAAAAAAAGGGGAAAAAGAAACATTGACAGCCACAGATGAACTTGGATTCCTATATAAAGATTATTTTTATACTTTTTGTTGTTGTTGTTGGGGTTTTTTTGTTGGTTTTTTTTTTTTTTTGCAAGGAAAGAAGATTGCCTGTAATATTTGTACAGTGTTCCCTGGTGTGAATAAACGCCAAGAAAAAAAAAGAAAGAAAACAAATCCAACTGAGTTTCCCAACTTTGCCAGAGGTTCCAGCTTTGCCAGACTTTCCCAACTTTGCCAGTTTCCCAACTTTGCCAGGATTTCCCAACTTTACCAGAGTTTCCCAACTTTGCCAGAGGTTCCAACTTTTCCAGAGGTTCCAACTTTGCCAGGATTTCCCAACTTTGCCAGTTTCCCAACTTTACCAGAGGTTCCCAGCTTTGCCAGACCTTCCCCAACTTTGCCAGAGTTTTCCAACCTTAGTTTCCCAACTTTACCAGAGTTTCCCAACTTTCCCAGTTTCCCAACTTTGCCAGAGATTCCCAACTTTCCCAGAATTTCCCTACTTTGCCAGAGGTTCCAAATTTGCCAGGATTTCCCAGCTTTGCCAGACTTCCCCAACTTTCCCAGTTTCCCAACTTTCCCAGTTTCCCACCTTTCCCAGACTTTCCCAACTTTGCCAGTTTCCCAACTTTACCAGAGGTTCCCAGCTTTGCCAGAGGTTCCAACTTTGCCAGGATTTCCCAACTTTGCCAGTTTCCCAACTTTGCCAGAGGTTCCCAGCTTTGCCAGACTTCCCCAACTTTCCCAGTTTCCCAACTTTCCCAGTTTCCCACCTTTCCCAGACTTTCCCAACTTTGCCAGTTTCCCAACTTTACCAGAGGTTCCCAGCTTTGCCAGAGGTTCCAACTTTGCCAGGATTTCCCAACTTTGCCAGTTTCCCAACTTTGCCAGAGGTTCCCAGCTTTGCCAGACTTCCCCAACTTTCCCAGTTTCCCAACTTTCCCAGTTTCCCAGCTTTCCCAGTTTCCCACCTTTCCCAGACTTTCCCAACTTTGCCAGAATTTCAGAACTTTGCAATAGCTTCCCCAACCTTGCCGGAGGTTTCCCAGCTTTCCCAGCTTTGCCAGCGTTTCCCCAGCCCCGCCGTTCCCGGCGGGGATGCGGGGGGGGGGGG